TCTCGAGTCCAATAGCTGTTATAGCTCTTTCCAGTATTGATAGAAGGGGTTCCTTCCTAACTTTTAACTTAAAGTAATGCGGAATGTCAGCAACTTGCTTATATCATTATTTTCTCTTCGAGTTACATGTGCTAACCATTTTAGTTGTTGCTGCTCTTGGTAGTCATCAAATGAGGTAGTCTCTGTTATTTGGTACAGTTCTTTGTTTGTGAATCTGTAGCGCCAGTTTACAATGTTCTAAGAAGGATGATCACTGCCAAGACCCTCAGGCTTCACTCGCTCAAAGCCTTCTTTCAGGATACCGAAATTGAGAAGTCTGGTAAAAGAAATTTGCAGTTTAAGCCCGCACACCAATTGTAATAAAAATTTCCTGAAAATTTCCATTTCGGTGTAAATTTGCATGCTTATTTCGAAAATAACAGTAAAAGTTTGCGGAAATCTACCGTTTTGGAGTTATCGACAATAAAAGTTCGAACTCATTCGCGTCGGGTCCGTCCGCCATTACTAACGTTGTTTACATACGTTTGCCTCGATAAATCATGCGCGGAAGCTTACTTAGTTAACAACCTTTTTACTGATCCTCCTCTTCTTACTCGTCTCAGTTATTGCACAAAACCAAAAGAAGTCTTTAGACACTTTTAAAAGTGAAGATTTTATTGAATTAGTAGAGGCAACCAGCCTAGGAGAAAAAAAAGCACTTAAATCAAAACCAGCCTCAATAAAGATAGTTTAGACATTTTAAGTACATCTCGGCTGCAATAAAATTAGTTCCTCTCTAACTTTTTTTGATTGATTCAGTGATTCGTTTTCTACGGCTTATTTGCTGGTTATTTAAATCCAGAAAATATTTTTACATTGCAAGAATTTTTCTTTTTAAGAGATAATAATGTTTTATTGTTACACCCCTTACTTACATAGCTTGGGGGGGGGTTGAAGAGGGGAATTCATAACTTTCCCAATGGTATTTTCTGTGCGAGAAAACGGGAAAAAAGAAAAACAAACAACTTTTTGCGACACAAAACGAACGCCTACTTGCGAACCTGAAACGAACGCCTTCTCTTCCGAACGAACACTTTAAGACAGCAAACGAGCAAAACGGTACCCAAGACTGCTGCCGACGGACGATCGACCGCAACGGCTTTTGTCGCCCAAGAAAAGACAGTAAATATAACGAACCCGACTGGAATTGGCCTCTGAACGGGAGGGTTTTGAGGAGCGTATAACCACCTGTTAACTGCTATTTTTCCCCAGGTACAACCTGATCCGGGGTGATAGCACCTGTTAAGATTCCAGCTTTGGGCAACTAGTTACACACACCAAACAAAAACAAAACACTATGAAAGTGTAAAAGTCCATTTTTGTAGTAGATGTTCGTAATGCATTTTTATATAAAGAAAATGACTAACAATACATTTTATAGCAAAATGACCAACAATACATTTTATCTGTAGTTGACGGCATACAATTGCGTTCAAAATATATTTAGTTGAAGCCATGAAATTGTGTTCAAAATATTTACATTTTCGGAATTAAATAACCCATAGAGATGTTGGTATGCCGCTAGACAAAATCAACCAAGCAAGCAACCATTAATCAATATATTATTCTACAATATCTAAAAGAAATCAAGTTGTATTCCAAAATATATCTTCAACACAAAATGCATCTATCACCGCCTCTAGTAACACTGGTCAACACGTTTTTAGTGCCAATAAACGAAACACATTATTAACTAATTTGATGGTGCTGATTCTGAAAATGACCTTAGTTTTTTCATGGTTAGCTACCGTTTTTACTGTATTGAAATTGCTCATTTTTGGCAAAAGAAGATCACTTTACAATCTTGGCTAACGGGGAGGTTTCAGACTCCATTAATAGTTAAGATGGTACTGAAAAGTTCCAAAAGTTTTATTTAGAACTAAAAGAATGAATGATTTCATGAATGAGTGACGTAAATGAAATTAGTGACAACAGAGCTAAAAGAAAAATGGAGCGAATGAACAAAATCCCAGAAATTGATAGATTTCTACGACATTTATTAACTAATCAATTTTCAGGTAGGGCGAGCAATTTACGTCAGCCACCTGAAATAAACTATTTTTCTAAGAAAAAAGTGTTTTTGAGTCAAAAATTTAAAAATAGATGTACCGAAGTTTTCCACTTTATCGCCAAAATTCAAATTAACTGATAAACTTTATCAGTAATTCACTTTAGTAAACCTGACCATTAAGGTGACATCAAAAAAATGAAACCCTAAAATCTTCTGTTTGGTTATTCATAAAATTATCCCATTACTTTTATCCCTTCGCTACGGAAGGAAACTAAGCATATTGAGAGCATTTTGTATTCACAGTTGGAAAGAAACTCCAACTAAAGACATCCCAATTGAATGCACCTATTCCATTGTACATGATACTGCTGGAGTATCAAAAAGTACTTAAATAACATTGAACATAACAGACAATCAAGAAAGAGAAAATTTTTACCATAGTTCTTATGTTCTCAAAGGATTTATTTCTGCTGTTAGTTTATTAAATGATTTGATGAAAATACTTGTTGGTCTTGGTATATTCAATTGAGTTATTTATAAAGACTTAGGTTCTGATTTGGTATTCAATATACAAAAATTTGTTGGTTTAAATACGAATTGAGATGTTTCCGATTTTATTTTTAGAGCCAACCCAAAAAATGAAAACAAATGCCTTTTTCCCCCAAAAAAATGAAGCATTTCTGTACAGCAAAAACGGTAGCTAACCAAGAAAAGGTCATTTTCAGATTCAGTGCCCTCAATTTAGCTAAAAAAAGATGTTTGGCATCTCGACACCATTTCAATTTTTTATTGACCATTGCAATCATTTCTACACAAACATGTATATGTACAAAAACTGAGTATCATCTACCATGTATTCACTTGTGAAAGCAGAATAACATGTCATATTTTTATTACTTCCAAGCCTCAGAAATGTAAATGTCGGCATTAAATGACCCATAAGTTGTTGATATGCCGTTAAGCAAACAAATCAGTCAATCTAAGTGTAGACAGAGATCCGTCAGTTTTTTTTTTTAATCTGACAATAAATTTCCAATCACTCAACCTGTGTTGCTTATGGAACCGTACAAAATTCTAATTTTGAGATGCTTATTTAATTTTTTTTCTGAAAACATTTATAGACATTGGGTTTCACTGATGAAGTTAAATGAACACGTGTAGAAGTGAAAGATTACTATAGAATCTCGTACTAAATAGCCACAACCGATCCTTTACCGTGGGTGAACCCGCTTACTGATTAGGCCTTTGTTACTCGGAGAAATAATTTATTGGAGTATTCATGATCTTTGCTTTGATGGCTTCCGTCTGTTAAATACCTTTCTGTTCGGTTTTATATTAAAATCCATTATTCGTATCTACAAGTTTTATTCCTTTATATTTTTATTTTAGAATTTATTTATTCCCTGAGAATTTATCTTACAAAGAACTTACTATCTCTGAATGAATATATTTAATAATTAACAACGGTAACGTATTTTTGTTTTTATTCGGCTTTTGTTCTTACTTTAATTAACTTTGCAAATCTGAATACGTCATCTTGTGGAAGAATGATTAAATTATAAACACGTTGCTGAGAAGTGAAAAAAAAGAGGGTGAAAATTTTGGAGGAAGTGAATAATATTTTCATTTTAGAGAAAGAAAAAAAAAAACATTTATTAAGCGGCACAAAATGAAGAAACGTAATATAAGGAATTATCAAAAACCTGAATGCAGGCGAGAATTCAATCGTAAAAGAAAAGGAATTTATTGAAGAAATTTTAAAAAAAATGTGAGTAAAAGAAAAAAATTAGAACTAAAAGAATGAAGGATTTCATGAATGAGTGACGAAAATGAAATTAGTGGTAACAGAGCTAAAAGAAAAATGGCGAATGAATGAAAACCCAGAAAATGTTGATACAAGAGCCAAAAGACGGGAAATGAATGAAAAAAACAACAATGAATGAATAAAAAGAAGCAACAATGAATGAATGAAAAAAAGCAACAATGAATGAATAAATTAAAAAGCTACAAGAAATGAATGAAGGAATGAAAAAAGCAACAAGAAATGAATGAATGAATGAAAAAAGCAACAAGAAATGAATAAATTAAAAAAAGCTACAAGAAAAATGAATGAATGAATGAAAAAGCAAAGGAATGAATGAAAAAGAAATAGTAAATGAATGAAAAAGAAATAATGAATGAATGAATGAAAAAAGCAACAATGAATGAATGAATGAAAAAGCAAATGAATGAAAAAAGCAACAAGAATGAATGAATGAATGAAAAAGCAAATGAATGAAAAAAGCAACAAGAAATGAATGAATGAATAAAGCAACAATGAATGAATGAAAAAGCAAATGAATGAAAAAAGCAACAAGAAATGAATGATTGAGAAAAGCAAAGAAATGAATGAAAGAAAAAGCAACAAGGAAATGAATGAATGAAAAACAATGAAATAATGAATAAAAAGGGAATAAATGAATGAAAAAAAAACATGGAAATATTAAATGAATGAGCAAAAAGCAGTAAAAAATGGAGCATTTAATGAATAAAGCAAAAAAGCCGCAGTAAAAAAAAAGAAAAGAAATAGAAAGGAAATAGAAAGGAAATATTAATTCAAGGAAAAAAAAAAACGTAATAAAGGAGGAAACTTTGAATAAATGAACGAAAAACAAGACCCGAATGAATGAATGAATGAATGAACTGAAAGTAATGAAATCAAAAGAGCGAAAGAAACTGAATGAATGAAGAGGAAACAAGACCGGAAGAAAAAAATAAATATTGACTCTATGAAAGAATGAACAGTTTGCAAAGACGAAAGGTCGAGAAAAGGAGTGACAATATAATAAGAAAAAAAGATAGAAACGAAGAAAATAGATTTAATTAATGAATGAATACAATTAACAAAGCAAAAAGAGAAGCAGCCAAAATCATGTAATAACAATTGATCAAAAAACCACAAACTTAACAAATGAAACAAGCAAACGACAAGTAAAAAAATAATTAGGGAAACAAAGATTCCTTAAAAGAAAACGGGTTAAAATGTCGAATATAAAAGATTAAGTATTTTCTGAAAATTGAAAGAGTGGAAGTGTTCAATAAATTGAAAGTGGTGGTGGGAAAACAAGTGGGAGATAATAAAGAACAATAAAATAAGTCACTGAAAGAACGAAAAACGTCTACGAAAAAAAACAAATGATGGGTAATTGTCGAGGGAGGAAGAAAAAAGAATCGTAAAATAGTATAAACGCCGTGACGAACGTGTATATTCCCTTGAAGGTCAAATAAAAGAAACATTGCTGAAAAAAAAGGCAATAAATCTCTAATGAAAAGGCGGGGGAGAAAAAGAAGAAACTAAAATTGTGTGTTTCAAAAGAAACAAAGAAAGAAACGAAAAAGGAAAAAATATTGAAAAATAAAGTTAATTAAATAAAAAATCTAGGGGAAAAAAAAACAAAATAAATGAAAGAAAAAATACTGGAAAAGTATAATTTTTTTAATGCAGAGAAGAGTATGAACTAAAAGAATAAATTAATGAACAAATAAAAATATCTGAATGTGATAGAGCATAAGAAAAATAATGAATCCTCAAAGCTCGGCAAATATCGCCATCTTAATTATTAATGCAGTTATCATAATGAAACGGTCCTTTGAAGGATTGGTTATAGTTAATAAGTCGGCGGTTGGGATTCAGGGAACAGATCTGGTTTTGTGGGTCGTGTCGATAAAGGCTTTGTTCGAAATCCCGTCATTTAAAAGCCGGAAATCAAGAGAAATCCGCAGAACAAATCAAAACACTGCTAATATACGAATATTTAGTCAAAATGGCATTCTTGTTAATGGATAGTCCTTCTTAGAATTGGGCAATAAACTACTGCGCTCTTAATGAAATGCTTGAATATTAGGTTGAGTCATAAGTTCTTTTGTTTTGTTCTTGTTCTCTTTGCTAACTTTTTCGCCTAATACAAAGCCCAAGAGCCATTCAATTTAGAGGGTTACCAAATTAAGTGGTTGTATGAACCTAAGAGGAGGAAATGTGGTTTATGAGGACCTGTTGGAAATGTAATCGTTAACCGTACATTAAATTTCAAGATTGAAACGATCACGGAAGCGTGCACTCAAGTGCTTGTATGACAAAGTAGTGCTTCTTGGAACTTCCTCCTTACAAATGGAATATGGCGGGAATGGGGATGATTTTTTTCCCAGTGTACATAGCATGGTGGGTGTTAGACGTGAACGTCTGAATTAGTGCAACTAAGGAATGTAGTTAGTCAGAACATTTTGTAATGGAGATAACAATAGTGGCAAAAGGCTTCCGATATTCTTGTGTTTTGAAAGAAATTCAGCGCATATATGAGTGAATAAGTTTCTCTCTCGCTTTCTCTCTCCTTCACACACACACACACACACACATCATTGCTCAGCCAGGACCCCATTTCAACTGGAGCTGACCTCATCATTTAATAAAACATAACAACGTGGTGCAATATCGTCATGATCTTTAGAGAGAAAGAAACGAAAAAGAAAGAAAAAAAAGGAAAAAGAAAAGACAAAAAATAAATTAAAAAAAAAGGAAAAAAAGTAAAAAAAAGAAAAGAATAAAGACTGAAAGAATAACAGTCGTTCCAAACCCACACCATTAATTTTCCTCCCTAGAACTCAGTTTCTTTCTTTCTCTTTCTCGTATCTTTCTTTCCCGTTTCTTTCTTTCTCTTTCCTTTCTTTCTCTTTCTCGTTTCATTCTTTCTCTTTCCTTGCCTTCTCTTTCCTCTCTTTCTATTTCTCGTTTCTTTCTTTCTCTTTCTCTTTCTCTTTCCTTTCTTTCTCTTTCTCTTTCCTTTCTTTCTCTTTCTCTTTCCTTTCTTTCTCTTTCTCTTTCCTTTCTTTCTCTTTCTCTTTCCTTTCTTTCTCTTTCTCCTTTCTTTCTCTTTCTCCTTTCTTTCTCTTTCTCCTTTCTTTCTCTTTTTCTTTTCTTTCTCTTTCTCCTTTCTTTCTCTTTCTCCTTTCTTTCTCTTTCTCCTTTCTTTCTCTTTCTCCTTTCTTTCTCTTTCTCTTTTCTTTCTCTCTCTTTTCTTTCTCTCTCTTTTCTTTCTCTTTCTCCTTTCTTTCTCTTTCTCCTTTCTTTCTCTTTCTCTTTTCTTTTCTCTCTCTTTCTTTTCTTTCTCTTTTCTTTCTTTCTCTTTTCTTTCTTTCTCTCTTTTCTTTCTCTCTCTTTTCTTTTCTTTCCTTTCTTTCTAAAGATCAAGATATTTTGCAGCACGTTGTTTTCTTTATTAAATTTTCTTTCTCTCCTTTTGAAATGGGGTCTTGGCTGAGCTCTCTCTTTTCTTTCTCTCTCTTTCTGAGAGAGTTTTCTCTCGTTTTGAATATCTCTATATTCTCTAATCTTTTCTGACTCTCTCTTTTCACAACTTAAGCTAATGACCAGTATGATAATCTTCAATGAATTTCTCTAATCGTGAGCGGCCAATCTCTTTTCTTTCGAGTTCTTTAACACGAATGAATATATTTCTCTCTCTTTTTGTGTCCTTTCTTTCTTTCTCTTTTCTTTCTCTCTTTTTCTTTCTCCATCTTAAATAATTTCTCTCTAAATATTTAACAGGTCTGAAATAGATTTCTCTCTCTTTTGTTTCTCTCTCTTTTCTTTCTCAGGGATTTCTTTCTCTCTTTCTTTTCTCTAAAATTTTTTTTTCTTCTCTCTTTCTTTTTTCTCTTATTTCTTTCTTTCTCTCTTTCTTTCTCTCTCTTTCTTTTTCTTTCTCTTTTCTTTCTCTCTTTTCTTTCTCTCTTTTCTTTTTACTTTTGCTTCTTTCTTTTCTTTTCTCTCTTTTCTTTTTCTCTTTTCTTTCTCTCTTTTTTTTTCTCTTTTCTTTTTGCTTTCTTTCTTTTCCTTTTTTTTTTTCTTTTCTCTCTTTTTCCTTCTCTTTTTCTTTCTCTTCTTTTCTTTCTCTCTCTTTTTCTTCTTTCTTTTTTTTTTTTCTTCTTTCTTTTTTTTTCTCTCTCTTTTCTTTCTCTCTTTTTCTTTCTCTTTTTTTTTCTTTCTTTTTTCCTTTCTTTTCTTCCTTTCTTTTTTTCTTTCTTTTTCTTTTTTCTTTTTCCTTTATTTTTGCACGTTGTTTCTTTATTAAATTTTTCCTTCAGCTTTTTGAAATGGGGTCCTTTTGAGCCTTGACTTTTTGCTTCTTTCTTTTTTTCAGAGGCTTTTGAATATCTCTTTTTCCTTTCTAGTAATGCAGATTTTGACTTCTTTCTTTTTTCCAACTTAAGCTTTTGACTTATTTAATTTTCAATGAATTACTTTTTGCTTCTTTCTTTTTTGATCTTTTTTTTTCCTTAACACCTTTGAACTTATTGACTTCTTTTTTTTTCCTGTTTTTCCTGCGGAAACCATTTTTAATTTTTTTCCTAAATAATTTTAAATTTACTTTTTGATGAAAATAGATTTTTTCGACAGTTTCAACTTAAAGGCTTCTTTTCTTTTTCCTTTACTTTTTGCTTCTTTCTTTTTTCCTTTACTTTTTGCTTCTTTCTTTTTTCCTTTACTTTTTGCTTCTTTCTTTTTTCCTTTACTTTTTGCTTCTTTCTTTTTTCCTTTACTTTTTGCTTCTTTCTTTTTTCCTTTTCTTTTTGCTTCTTTCTTTTTTCCTTTTCTTTTTTGCTTCTTTCTTTTTTTCCTTTTCTTTTTTTCTTTTTCTTTCTTTCCCTTCTTTCTTTTTCCTTTTCTTTCCCTTCTTTCTTTTTCCTTTTCTTTCTTTCCTTTCTTTTTCCTTTTCTTTCTTTCCTTTCTTTTTCCTTTTCTTTCTTTCCTTTTCCTTTTCTTTCTTTCCTTTCTTTTTCCTTTTCTTTCTTTCCTTTCTTTTTTCTTTCTTTCCTTTCTTTCTTTCCTTTTCTTTCCTGTTGTTCTTTTCTTTCCTGTTGTTCTTTTCTTTCCTTTTCTTTCCTGTTGTTCTTTTCTTTCCTGTTGTTCTTTTCTTTCCTTTTCTTTCCTGTTGTTCTTTTCTTTCCTGTTGTTCTTTTCTTTCCTTTTCTTTCCTGTTGTTCATTTCTTTCCTTTTCTTTCCTGTTGTTCATTTCTTTCCTTTTCTTTCCTGTTGTTCATTTCTTTCCTTTTCTTTCCTGTTGTTCATTTCTTTCTTTTTAACAACTTCCATGGTTGATTTTAATGCCGGAATATAAGAATTTTATATAGAATTTTATTTTATCTTATTTATTTACTTTTTTTAGATAATAACTGTTTTATTTACACTAGTCTTACTAATTAACTCATAAGGAAGGATAAGAATTGGATTCATACTTTTCCCACAAGTATTTGCGCCTAAGTGAATATAACGAACATAATTGGAGCTCTCCGATTAATCTTTCCGAGCCCTTATCTATTACATCACTTGGTATTCCCAAGCGGTCACTCATCTAGGTACAGACCAGTCTCGGCGTTGCTTAACTTCGGAGATCGTACGAAAAAAATTGGGTATTTTCTGGTGGGATTGGATCAATTTTGACAATGTGTTTCCTCATTATTAAGTAGCTTTTCAATTGATTTGTTGAAATGTTATAGTGATTTTCCAAGCGTAGTTTAGTTATGGCACAAGGCCGAAAGTAGGGGGCACACAGTGAGGATCGAACTCACTACTCAGTCGTAATTGTTCTAGCGAGATAATCTTGCTAACCTTTACACCATCTCTAGGTACCCATTTTTGAAATGTTATATCCTAGAAATGATTTCATGTTCATCAATTGTGGTTATCTGAGTGACATTTATTAGAGAGTAATGAGTTTGTTCCTCACTGGGCGCTCCAAATAAAAACAGCCGTATTAAACTCAAAGTTGACATATCATAGTCATAAAATCAACTAACCAAAATTGAAATCACTGAATAATATCCATCTTTATTGCATTTTTTTTGTTTTTTTTTTTGTTTCCATGACAAATGTTCAGACGAGCGACATTCCTTAGTTTCCCCAGTTCAGACCTTCATAGCTAGTACTTGCCATGCCACGGAGTCAACTCATCCTCATCCTTCTTCTTATTCCTTTGGTGAGGAAGAAGTTCCACTCAAAACTATCAGTGTATCTGACTCCCGAGAGGATGCTTCCCTTACCAATGCAATTTAACTTCTTCAAATTTAAAGTTAATCTGTCCGACATATCCTTATAATATGCCCTACTTAAGTCTTCTCATTGTGCCCTTCTAACAACCTTATTCACTAATTATCTACTTTGAGAGGCTCTTGAGCCTTGTGTAAGGAGTGAAAAATAGTCTAGAAAAATACATTTATATAATGAAATCGATGTGGTGCCTCATCCTACTTTAATGGTTAACAAGCTAGTGTCGAGCATCATTGTTACTATTGTTTTGCTACTCACTGGATGAGATGTTAATCTTCGGCAATATCAATAATTTCGACGTCACACCGTGGAGCAATTCCTTAGTATCGCCAGTTCACACGTCTCATATACGATTATAGCTAGGACGACCAAAATGAAGTGCCCCGTACATGTAGTCACGCACCAAACCAAGCTAAATTAAGAAAATGCTTATATATTTTAATATTTTTTAAATTCATATTCCTTCAGAATGTAAGCTGTTATGGCTTTCTGCAGTTTCCGTTTTATTTTAATATATATGAATTTTTCATGATTTTTTTTTTTTGGTGGTGGGGGGGAGATACACTGGTTTTTCCTTGCCTTCAGTACTGTTTTACATTCAGAGTAGACGTTCTCATAGAGTGGCTGCCAACCAAGGCAGTGCCTCCTGCTATTTAAACTATAGCTGAAGAAAACTTAACGCTACTTAGCTCATAATCAATGACGTCTGCATTCTTGACTAAATAATCGATGCGACATCGCGGCAATTGAATATTTTCACTTCTTCAATCTTACTGGATCCGCATCCTCTTAAAACTTGCCGCTTCTGCCTTTCTTCAGTTCGTCTTTGCTTTAACTTTTCATAGCTATCAATCTTGTCATCCGAATAGCGAATTAATTCCGTATCTCGGTAGATGAAACGCGATAAAAATTTCTTTCAATTTATTTTAACTCCGCCATGTTTTCCCAATATTGTTCTAATAAAAGTCCGAAAACTTCTCCACTTCTCGGATTTTCATCCGACCCCCGACCAGACGTACGAAATATTTATGGACGGACACTTTATCTCGACCTTTCCCGGATTCCGGACCATCTCCACTCTCCGGCCCCGGGGCCTACAAACGAACCAGCCGACCGACCAATCGTTCGTCTGTCTATCCGACCAGCCCAAGAAAGCCGACGCTCTCAAGCCTCTGCCATATTGACTTAAAGATTACAATCTGTGCAAACGCAAATTAAGCAGGAACCTAAAAGAATTAACTCCGGCATTAAGTGAGACTGATCTAAGGCGACATATTGATTTCATTGTACCGACGTTTTATTGGTCCATTGAGGAAGGCATAAAGTTAGATCGAGCACTGGTTATTCGGCTGGGGAGCTATGGTAAAGCATTGAAAATGGTATTGGATGGCCGAGCGAAATTTGGATCTGACCGGACTTGTTCATAACACCATTGGCCATAAAATCGATGGGGACCAACATAATTGTACGGACACTGTCAGAAGGAATATAAAATGGTACGCTGTTGGCAGGCGGTTTAAAATTATTTCGAAATACTTGTAGATGCTAGTTCACGCTCACTCACTCGCTCACATATATTTAGGCAGCATATCTTCATTCAAACATTTTTCATTGAATAACATAGACATATTATGTCTATTTATTTATATAGTGATCCTTTCTAGTTCTCTAATCAGTTTCTTGATGTTAAGATGAAAATCATCAAGGAAGGCACCGTTATTTTTTTAACCCAAGTACTTTCGACCCTTTTCAAAATTATTGTAATTACAATAGAATCAGTATAAAAGTAAATATACACAATATGTCTATATTAAAATATATATATATATATATATATATATATATATATATATATATATATATTTTGTGTATTTAGGCATCCATGTTTCTTTCATGTAAGGTTCATTTAAATATGACAGACAAGTTGCTTTGATTAAGTTTTTTACATAAATTCTCATATGAACTTATATTTTTTCATAATAATTTAATAATAATAATTATATATATATATATATGTATGTATATATATATATATATATATATATATATAATAATTATGATTATAATAATTAATTTTTTATAATAATTTTTCATATTTTTTCTCCATATCCCATTTTCTGATGAAACTTTAATAAAAGTGAAAGTTAGATAAAGCATATATACGTACATATAAACATACGGATATACATATATATATATATGTGTGTGTGTGTATTTAGGCAGGGTATCTTTATTCAAACATGTTTCATGGAATAATATAGACATGTCTATTTTTATGATCTTTGCATTTTTTTTAATGATCCTTTACAGTTGTCAAATTATTATCTTGATGTTAAGATGAAATTCATCAAGGAAGGCGCCGTAGTATTTTTTTAGTTTTTTCCTACCCAAGTACTTTCCTTAGATCGTCTTCAGTGGTAAATTACAAAGACAAACTTATTGTAAATGTGACAATTTAACGTATTTTAAGGTCAGCAGAATTTTTTGCAAAAAGTTACTCAATAGAGTAAGTATATCCAATGAATCAATATATATACAATAGACCGACACCACAATTTCACATAAAACCGCTATGGAGTCTATCACTTGATAACTCGATTGAAAATTTATTGATATATATTTCTTCGTGAAACGCCTCGGTTTTACACACTAGCACACATAATTTTTTTTTTTTTTTTTTTTTTTTTTTTTTTTTTAGTTGATGATAATTAGGGGTTTCGGGTCTTTCAATATTGTACCCCCTCTCCAAGGTGACCCAGCCGATATTGATCAGGTATTGACTACAGCTACAAATCTTCTCATAATACACCCAACACATTACGACTCACCCGGCATTTTATAGTCCAATCACGAACAATATATATCTATGATTTTGGATCGAATATGATCGGAATTCGATAGAACGATAGTTTAAAAAACAATTAGGAGCATTTTATAAATCTAACATGTTTCGCTTTAACTAAAACCTCATCAAATAATGCAATATGGAGAAGAAAACGAAAATTCTGCTATTTTTAATTTTTGTGTTTCTTTTTCATTGGTTAAGAAGACCTCACTTGAATCTGCCACGTCTCCGTTTGTTTGTATAATTTATGTGTGCATGTGTATGATAATTCTAGTTTGTGTGTGATCCGAATGATAATGTATTCGTGTGCGGGCGCGAGCACACACATGCATCTAGTTAAGATTTTTATCCACGCTTGGTGGTTATCAGCATGATTTGGAAACGTTTGGGAGGGGGGCGTGGGGTGAGAATCAAATTAAGTTCTGATAATAGGTAGACATATATTAGATTCCTTAAGTATGAATTTTATAAAGGTTGGTGATGTAATAAAGCCCATTTGATCAGTGTTTATAGATGGTAAAACTAACTATTTTATTTTATATATATATATATATATATATATATAATGAGGAATCTAAATGAAATAATAATAAAAAACGAAAGAATATTAATCTACAACCCAGTGTGTCTAAAGATTTTAATTTTTTAATATTTTTTAATATATATTTATATATATATATATATATATATATATATATATATATATATATATATATATTATAATTATGGATTTTTTAAAATGATCCCTTCAGTACATAAGAGTTCTCATGTTTCAGAAACGAGAGCCGAAACCTTCAATATAATTATTAAACTTAAATTGAATTAAAGTAACAAGCCCTGTTTCATCCTCAAGCGAAAATTTACGAATAACCAATTTTGAAATTTACGTATCGTTATAAGCGTGTTCATTCTGGAGCGACCATTTTTATCCACATATCAGTCGCCTTCAGGGAGAGGTCAAGCTGACGTAGGTGGGGTGTCTATATATATATATATATATATATATATACACCCAAGTATAGGATTGGTGTATACGGAATAAATTCCAATAACCAACAAATACCACCACTTGATAAGACACCAGAATTGTTGAAACAAAATGGCTATTTTTGTAGTGATTTTATAACATATTTATGTTATAATTTTATATATATATATATATATATATATATATATATATATATATATAGTGATAATTGTTTGGAAAAAAAACCTCAGATAGCTCAACTTGTAGATATGTCAAAACAAATCGGTAGCCGAGAAAAAAATTGGAAATAAAAAAGCAAGAACTAAAAACATCTGAACATGACGAAACAAATCGTCCAGTGCCTTAAAACCAAAGAAAAAAACCCGACTAAAACGTAGAGTGCTTAAAAACAAACCACACACCAACCCAACTCTTCTAAATGTAACTGTAGAAATAAAAATGCCTGTCCACTTAAGGGCAGATGCCAACAGGAGTATGTGATGTATAAAGTCGAAATACATAGAAATAAACCGAATAAGATAAGAACCTCAAATGTTACATAGGATCCACCCAACGTAACTTCAAAAAACGTTACTACAATCATTTAAGTAGCTTCAGTCACGAAACTTATAAACATAGTACCAGCCTGTCCACATACATATGGAATATAAAACAAAAAGATGGTAGTGACCCCATTTTAAAATGGGGAAATATTTTTTTAAAATTCCATAAATAAGGGACAAATTTTGTTCGTTATGCATGGTAGAAAAATTAGCAATCGCCGCCTACAATGAACCTAATAAATTATTAAATCAAAGATCTGAGATTCTAAATAGATGTAGGCATAGGAAATCCTGGTTATTGGAAGAGGCTTTTTTTTTTTTTCTTTTTTTTTTTTTTGTTTTTTATTTCATTTCTTTTGTTGTTTTTTTTTCTTTTGTTATTTCTTTGTTTTCTTCTGTCACGTGGTTTTATGCTTATTAGTTTTTAATGGTTTTATCAAGACATACTGTTTCGTCATTTCCTTTTTAGCCAGCTTACCCTGAAGATCCGTTTAGGTGAAACCTAAGCAGGTTTTCTTGGGTCTTTTGGATTTATTTTCGTTTTATATATATGTGTGTGTCAAATTCTGTCTGTTCGTCCGTGTGTCTGAAATCTCTCCAACTTGGGACACACTTGCTCTACATAGACGTATATTATTATACCTTTTTTGGAATCGGGATGATTTCAGGATTGAAAATCTGTCCTTCATCTGGTGCTTAAACATCCAGCATTGGGATTTGTGTTCGGATGAGGAGGGAACAATTAAAAAAAAGTCCAATGTTAAAATAATTGAAAACAATTAGTGATTTTAAGTTTTTAATTTATATTTAAATACTTTTGGTTTAAATTCAATTTAAAATATCTCCCAAACTTTGTGAATTGAGGAAATCAATTTTATTTGCCAAGGAATTAAAGTGAGAGGTATCTTAACGTGAGGTTTCGAAGTGCATATTTTCAACCCTGGAATGATCCTGATTCTAAAAACGTATAATATATCTATGTATAGCAAGTGTGACCCGGACAAACAGAATTTGCTGTTTATTTATTTAGAAGGTAGAAGCTGTAATTTCTGGGCGCAAATAACAAATGCTTTATGAGGTTTTATATTTTATCATTAGTTTAGATTTTTTTTTTATTTTATTTCCAAGTTTACCCATGTCGTCATAAATGAAGCATTTTTTTGTAGCCAATTTATTTAGAACGATTTTACATTTGTATTTGATATATATATATATATATATATATATATATATATATATATATATATATATATATCTTTCCAAATATTATTACGTAATAACGAAAAAAAAATTGATCCCCCATTTTATGTCCACCAGAATCTTGTGTTAATATCACTTCACTTATTCTTACTAGATTTTCACATTTGAAATTTTAACTATATGCTTTCCTTTGATTATAGCCTCTCTGGGGTATCGGTTTGATACTTAATAACAATAGGAAACTGAGCCCTCATTTTATGACCAGTCAAATTTATATTAAAGACTATTTTGAACAAGCCGTCAAAAAATGAAAGACTGATTTAAGTTCTTGCGATTAAAGAATCACATTTGAGTTTTTAAATATATATTTTCCAATTATTATATGAATATGCACTCACTAAATGGGGGATCAATTTACTTATTGATGATACAAAAATATTCCCCTATTTTATATCAACTAAAAGCTTATATTAATGTTTATTCATTCTGATAACCGTCCTCTGTATGACTATATACTACATCCGGTGATAAGGCCTCTGGTAGATAGATTGGAGCTTTTGAGGAGTGCAGAAGCACGTTTTAATTTCTGTTGTTCCTAGGTCCACCCTG